AGAGGGAAGGGAGGTGTCTATGAACTCAGATGGGAAATACATAACATTATTATTTTCATTAACTTCTAGTTTCCTTGTTTGTTTGTTTATTTGGAAGCAATTGGGATTAAGTGACTTGCTCAAGGTCACACAGCTAGTAATGGTCTAAGGTCAGATCTGAACTTAGATTCTTCTGATTTCTGAGCTGGGGCTCTAGCCACTGAACCACCTAGCTGCACCCCGGTTTCCTCTGTAATCTTTTGTATATTATATTATGAATTTAAAAACATAATTCTGAGAAGTGGTCTATAGTCCTCACCAGACACTGCCCAAAGGGTTCATTAAACAAAAAAGGTTAAAAATCTTTGGATAAATGGTTTCTACGGTCCCTCTCTCTTCCTGCTGTAAATCTCATGATCTGATTAATGAAAGGCCAGTCAGGGCTTCAGGGGCTCCCCTCCCCCCACCCATGCCCACAGATCCCAGTCTATATCAGTTTTTCTTTTGCTGGACTTGGGAGCTAGCAAGGGGGAAGTGAAGATGAGGTTGGGGGAGATATCAGGCCCCATGACAGCTCACTCTGAGTGGTTCAGAGTAGAGGCAAGAATAGCAATCTGTGACAGGCATTTTTCAAGGCAGTGTCTGTCTTGATAGGGTGGAGAATTGGAGGGAAGTGAGTAAGAATGGGTAGGCCCCTGAAGACTCTGCATAAAGCCAGTTGTCAGCAGAAAGCAAATGCTGTGACTACAGAACCAAGCTGAGGGAGCGCTAAACCTGCCCTCCCAGCAAGCCAGGGGTATTGCTTCCACTGAACACCATGACCCCGAGCACCTTCTTGGCGGGGCTACCATCTGCATGTGCCCTCCTTCTGTGTCTTCCCACTCCAGGCCAGAGTGTGGTGGGTCCTGTGGTCCCGATGTCCTCTTTGCTGCCATTTGGAATGCAGGGCCTGGCAGTCATTGACTGGGAGTCATGGCACCCACTGTGGGCTCGCAACGGGGACTCCAAGAACATTTACTGGGAACAGTCTCGGGAAATGATAAGAGAGAAGCACCCAGACTGGTATTCTTGGTGGGTGGAGAGTAAGGCTATAGAGCAGTTTGAAGGGGCAGCCAAAGCCTGGATGCTGGACACCTTGAAGTTGGGGGAGTCTTTGTGGCCTGAGGGGCTCTGGGGCTACTACGGTTTCCCGGATTGCTACAATTACAACTTCCAGAGCCCCAGTTACATGGGCCAACGCCCACCAAGGATTGAGAACCAGAATGACCTCCTGCAGTGGATGGGGAGGAGAGCCGTGCCCTCTACCGCAGCACCTACCTGTCCCCAGAGTTGGCAGGCAAGGGGTGTAGCCTGCTCTATGTCCACTGAAGGCTTCAAGAGGCCTTCCAGGTAGCAGGTGGCACCCATAGTCCTGGCTGACAAGTCCTGCCATATGCTCAGATATTTTATGAGACCATCAATCACTTTCTGTCTTTGGTGAGAATATTTGCAACTGCCCCTCCTCCCAGCCAGCCAATCCATCTCTATAAGGCTAGAACCTGGGGCCCAGTATGGGGGCCTTAGAGCCCCACCTTCACTGAGAGGGTACCCCAGCATCGGGCTGAGATGCCAGGGAATGCTAGCTTTTGTTCATGACTCTCTCACCCCCATGAAGCCCAGTAAGTAATGCTGGTATGATCTGCTAATTTTACTCAGGACCCCAGGGAGCAGTCATGGCAGCTTAGCTCTCCCACCCCTATTGACCCTTTAACCCCGCCCCCAGCTCTAGGCTTGTTCTTTGCAGGAGGACCTGGAGCAGAGCATTGGAGAGAGTGCAGCCCAGGGAGCAGATGGAATTGTGCTGTGGGTCAGCTGGTGGAACACCAACAGCAAAGTAAGGGAGGCCTGAGGCTTGAGAGGAGACCCTCTTGGGGGAGTGGACAAGGCCGGGAGGCTGGTATCTACAGGGAGGGTCAGTGGAAGTGCCTGAGAAAGCAAGATGGCACTTCTGACTCTTTCCTAAATCATTGGATCGTTATGGGGACTAGGGACTGGAAATCTAGGGGGTGGGTGTGGGGGTGGGGGTGGGTGTGTGCCCACATGGGCCCTCAATACCAGACCTCCATCAGCCTGTCACAGATGCCTGACATTCCTCCATAAGGGCTCCATTCTTTGAGATTCATAGTTGAAAATCGACCCCCAACAACAACTCAGGTTGAATACTTTTCTCAAGTTTCAGGAGGGCACTGGAGACTTGTGGGGTTAAAAGGTGTATTGAAGGAAGGAAAAGAAGAAAAGGGAGGGGGAGGGTAAGCCTGACTACAAACTCAAGCCCTGGCTCACTGTTCCGTTCTTGGGGTTAAAAATTAATCAACCTACAATAAGAGAGACTGAGGCAGAGCTCTGAGCCAATGGCATTTCCCTTCCCCTAGTGCAGAAACCAATGGTACTCTCTGTTGAAGTGGACCTTAGATCTTTCTCACAATCTGAGACGCTTACTCCTTCCAGGGCCCTATTTTTATATATAAGGATTAGATAACTAAACACCCAAGAGCAGCTATACCAAATTCAAAATAATTCCATTGGTTAACATATGATGCATAGGCTAAGATAAGCAAAACAATCTATCAGCAGGGTCAGAGGTTGGGCAAAGTAGAAAATATCTCCACGGACTAGGTGGTCACAAGATGGCTGGGCTTCTCCTTAGGTTGGGCAGGAGCCACACATATGCTCCAAGAACTTTCCATGCCATGCCACCACCCATGCTTGGTTTGGTCATGGAATTTGAGTGGAACAGGATGGAGATATCTTTGTCAGTATTCTTATGGCAGGGCAAGTGAGGTCCACAGCTGGTAAACAAGTAATGAGTATTCCATTAAAGTCTGAGGCCTATTAAAGGGCCTTTCTATTAGAAACAATATTCCTATGTGACTTTGTATACAAAGTATGGATTAATACACTGCTTATTCTTGCCCAAATATGCAGAAGAAGCAAGACAAAATACAGAATCTCATTGGTTGATAGACCTTGCTCTTGAAGGCCAAAAATAACATTAGCAGGGGGGGGTCACAGATTGGGTGAAGCATAGTGCATCTTCCCTGACTAAGGGTCATAAGATGGTCACCTGGTCATGTTGGACAAGAGAGAATGGTCTGGAGGTACAAAAATAAATGGGGGGACTTTCCATGTCCCCTCTGCCACACTAGGCTTGGTCACCATCATAAGGGAAAACAAGGGTAGAGGGGCCCTAGTTAACTTCCTATGATTAAACAAGTGAACTTACAAACTGCAGCTCACAGCTCTGGGGCCAAACATACAGAACTTATAATCACTAGCCCTATAGAATTATATCAAATGGATTGACATAGAATAGGGGTCCTCAGTGAATCAACTTTCTCATTTCCCTCTAAGAAGGGGCATAAAATAAGTTCCAGACTCTACAAAGATGCTCCAAAGTCCCTGAGGGTATCTTCTGAGACTTCCCGACAGCCTCGGGGGCAACTGGCCAAGGCTGAGAGGGCTTTCTAATGCCTCTAGGCCTACCCAGGCAAGCTTGGCACTGAGGCAACCCTCTTTTTGTCCAAAAAATCCTGCCAGGTTATCAAGGACTACATGGACACCATCCTGGGCCCCTTCCTCCTGAACGTGACCAGCAGCACCCACCTCCATAGCCAGGCTCTGTGTTCAGGGCACGGACGCTATACCCGCCGTCCAGACCACCCCCACGCCTTCCTCTTCCTCAGCCCATCCAGCTTCTCCATCTGGAGCCAGCCAATCAGTGGACACCTGGGGATAGAGGCTTCTTAACAAAGGAAGCCAGAGTCAAGATGGCAAACAAAACGAGTTTGAGTGTCGATGCTCCTCAGGCTGGGATGGAGAGCAATGTGATCGAAGGGATGGCCATTGAGTGGTGGCTGGCTCTCCCTTCCCCTAGTGCGGAAACCAGCATCGGCCAGGTTAGCTGAAATCATTGACACATGGAGTTACAATCATATAGACATATGTGATCCCACCTCCAGAGTCACAGATGCAAACATCAATAGCCAGTCAATCAAGTATTTATGGTGTGCCAGGCACACTAGAAAAAAGACAAAAGCAAGAGTCCCTGCCCTCCCAGAGCTTGAAATCAGTTACACCCAGAAATGTAGGTAGAAACACACCAAGATCTTCCAAGAGGTAAAGCCAAGAGGCCTTCCAAGCCTCTCCCATAGCCCCTATTTCAGAATTGAGTACATGGGAAAGTTCAGTAAATACTGCTTTTGCTGAATGAACGAATGAATGAATCTATATATAAAGTTAGCCAGAACACAACCAAATAGAAATCTGGTCACTGCTGTGCAAAAGCATCCAGAAATACTCACATCACTTGTAACACACTCACCTATGCAAATACATGCCAACAGACATAGGGAGGCAAAGTAGGCAGAACTGGGGACAGGGTGGTCCTTAGGGGAGTGCCCCCTCCCAGCTGAGGAAAGGGATTTGTTCAAGGTCATACAGTGAGCTCCTGGAGAACCGGTACTAGATACCAGGTCTTCTGCCTCTTACTACAGAATTCTTTTCAGTGAAAAACACTTGTCCCCCAAGTGGGACACAAGCACAGTTATCCACCGAGTCAATGCCACACGTACACACAGTCATACTCACAGATCATCCTGGGAATGGAGGGGTGTCCCTCATCCCCTTTGTGCCCCACCCACCTACTCCTTCCTTCTGCCATTTTCTCCTCCATTTTATGCTCCCAGCCATAATAAAGCTAATGATGCTAATGACAAGGACTTTCTTTGTCTGGGAGCGGTAGCTGCTGCCCCAGGCTCTGGAGTCCTGGGTGGGACAGATGGAGGAATCGGATTGAGCCCAGACCAGCCGCAGTCTGCCTCTCCTCCTCACCTCTCCCATCTGGACACCAAGATTCCATCTCCCTCCCTCCCTTCTCCCCATTGGAAGCAGTGGTGTGGGTTGGCCGCCCCCCGAGGGGAGGAGGGCAGTTCTGGGTCTCCCTCCTCAGACCAGGGGGAGGGGCCAGTCAGCCTGAGGTCCTCCGCTCCCTGGGCAGCGTCACCACTGCGCTCTGGGCTTCCAGTTCGGCCTCGGGGCAGGCTGGAGTGCTGGCCATTTGGGTAGGTGGGGCCACAGGTGTGGGAGTGAGAGGTGGAAAACTTCAGGGCCAGGCCCCAGGAAAGGAGCAGCTCCCCTGCAAAACCCTCTTTCTAGAAGGGCAGGGATCAGCAGCTTCTCTTTCTTCCATTCCGAGGTTGCTGCGCCCCTCCCCCCCCCAGATGGCGATACGGGGACTCGGACAGGGGCGGTAAATTTTCAGGTCTCCACATCCCCCGACTTCATTGTCCTGTCCTACCTCCTCTTCCCAGCCTTATTCTCCTGTTTCCCCACCCCAAAAGTCTCTCCCCTACTTCCCTATTCTCCCAGTCCCATCATTTTAGCCTGCCACCTCACTCCTCTGTCCCAGCATCCTCTTATATTCTTCCTTATCTTTGTCCCCTTTCCTTCTCCTCTGGTCTGCCTGACTGTTACTTTCTTATTCTCTGATCCCCATTCTTTTTCCTAAAGCACAGGTCAAACCCCACTCCTACTCAGTAATTTCTAATAACTCCTGACTTCCAGGATCAAACACTCAGCCCTTTGCTGGGCTCTTCATAACCTGGTACCCTCTCTACCATTCCAGTCTTCTAGTTTATTCCCTTCCATGAATCCTGCAATCCAGCTGATTTCTATTCCTCACATCTCCCACCTCCACACCTTTGTACTGGCTATCCCCCATGCCTGGAATGCCATCCCTTCTCACCCTTGTCTCCTGGCTTCCTTCAAATTCAGCTCAAATCCCTGGTCTCCTCCCCACTTCCCACCCCACTTGCCAATGCCTTCCATCATTGATTACCTTCCACCCACTATTCTGTATATATCCTGTACATTCCTGGTTGTTGGTATGTTTTTGTCTCCCACATTAGAATATGAACTCAAGGTCAATGACCTAGCTTTTGTCTTAAGCACTTAGCATTATGCCTGGCACACAGTAGGGTTTTAAAAAAATTGCTGTTCAGTCTTGTCTGACTCTTTATGACCACATTTGGGGTTCTCTTGGCAAAGATACCAGAGTGATTTGCCATTTCTTTCTCTCGCTCATTTTACAGATAAGGAAACTGAGGCAAACAGGGTTATGTGACTTGCCCAGGGTCACACAGCTATTAAGTGTCTGAAGCTGGATTTGAATTCAAGTCTTTCTGACTCCATACCTGGCACCACCTAGTAAATGCTTATTGACCATCTCCCAGACTTCTCTCCAATTCTCTTGAACTCCCTCTTTTGTTCCCTGGTTCCTCCATTCTATGGCCCTCCAAACTCCTATCTTCTCATCTGGAAGATGCGCCAACCCTCCTTTCCCCTGACTCAATCCCCTGTTTTTCATTCTCCTGTCCCCTCATTCCTTTACACATCTCCTTATCTTCTTGTCCTTTAACCCCATTCTCCTATCCCCCTGTTCTCCAGTCCCTGATATCCTGACGCTGTGTCTCCTTGACTCTACACCCTATCCTCCCATTCTCCTTCTTCCCCATCTCTCTGTCCCTATGCTCTTTTACCAGGCAAAGCAAGGTCAGGACGAAGATCAGGGCAGATCCCCTACTTCTCTAACCCTAAATAGCCTGACTCTGTAATATTTTGTTGGGCCCTCCTCCTTTTCTAGGCTTAGGAACATCTCCCTGGTGGCTTGGTCAGGCAGATATGGTATTAGTGGGTTGCCTATTCTATTACTGCCTAATCCCAGAGTTCTCCTGGCAAGCTGTGTTCTAGTGACTTCAATCTGGGGGCTCCCTGAATAACCTCCTGACCTTGCCTAGGTGTCTGACCCCAGGGCATCTAGGCTCTGAACTAGTGAATGTTTAACCTGAGAGTCTGGTTGTATGTGTGTGACTCTGTGTGTGTGTGTGTGTGTGTGTGTGTGTGTGTGTGTGTGTGTGTGTGTGTGTGTGTAAGCTTGTGGGCAGAGTCTCAAGGCAGAAGTTGAAACCAGCTGATCAGCACTGTCCTGCCACAACAGAATGTGATCTACTACTTCTACCATGCACCATGACTCCAGGGGACTTCATGATTTTCATCTGTGCCCTTTGGCTGATCCTTCCAGACCTGAGCCAAGGCTTAGGTGGCCCCGTGCTGCCCAACGTCCCCTTTGTTGCCATCTGGAATGCCAACACCCATTTGTGCCAACAGAAATTTCAAGTGAACATCAGCCTGGACACCTTCCACGTGGTAGCCAACCCAGATCAGGTCTTTCAGGGACCAAATATGACCATCTTCTATAGCACTAAGCTGGGCACTTACCCTTGGTATACACCTGTTGGGCAGCCAATCAATGGGGGCCTGCCTCAGAATGCCAGTTTCTGGGCCCACCTGGTCAAGTCCTATAAAGACATCCTGGACACTTTACCTGAACCTGACTTCAAGGGAGTTGTGGTCATCGACTGGGAAGAATGGCGCCCTATTTGGGCCACAAACTGGGACTCAAAGAAAATATACCAGGAGCATTCTCTGGACCTGGTGAGAGAAAAGCACCCAGACTGGCACCCATTCAGGGTGGAGGAAGTGGCTAAGAAACAATTTGAGGAGGCAGCCAGGGAATGGATGGTTGGCACCTTACAGCTGGGGAAGTTCTTGCGGCCCAGAGGACTCTGGGGCTACTATGGTTTCCCAGACTGTTACAATTACAACTTCCAGAAGCCCAACTACACAGGAGAGTGCGGTCAGGAGATCCAGGAACTGAACAACCAGTTGTTATGGATGTGGGAGCAGAGCCGAGCCCTCTACCCTAGCATCTACCTTCCCCCGGAGCTGGCCGAATCAGGAAAGTCACTGATGTTTGTCCATGGGAGACTGCAAGAGGTCTTTAGAGTGGAAGGGAGAACCCGCAGTCCCGGCCGGCCCATCTTGCCCTACGCACAGATCTTTTATGAGCAGACAGATCGTTTTCTGCCCTTGGTGAGCACTTTCCTCTAGACCCCTCTCCTCCTCAGCTTCAGTTTCCTGTTGACAAGTTAGACCAGCTGCAGCCCAGAGCCTCGGCCCATACCCTGAGCCTCAAGCTAGGCCCAGGGCCCTCCCTAGAGTAACCCACTCCCACCTTGAGTCTTCTGGGGATGGACCTTGCTTTGCCTCGGTGTCAGACCAAACTTCAAGGAACTGGGCTCCCCTTTCCCAGTTTGTGGGAGATCGCCCTCCTCACTCCTGACACACCCATTGGTGGGCAGGTCCCCGTCCCACTGAAGCAGCATGGTGTAGTGGAAGGTGCTTGATTTGGAGTCAGGAGCCCTGGGTTTGAAGCCTGCCTCTGATACTTGCTAGCTGTGTGACCTTGGACGGACCTGGTCACTTGACCGGACACAGCTTCATAGTTTACTCCCCTGTTAATGAGCATGACAGTTAGTCCTTGCAGTGTTTAGAGGGGAGATCTATTGGGAAGAAAGCACTCTGTAAACCATAAAACTAGAGGAAATTCAAAATATTATTATGAACCCTTGCTCTGCTGTTAGGAGTAGCCTCTCCAGGTATGAGGAGAATGGCATGTCCCTTTGTCCCTCCATGAATTAGGGGAGGGGAGAGATGTTAATATATTTACAAAGGCATTTTGCTCCCCTTTCTACATTCCCCCATCCTCCAGGAGGAGCTGGAGAATACAATTGGAGAGAGTTTGGCCCAGGGTACGGATGGAATTGTGATATGGATGGGTGGAGACCATGAACACACCAAGGTGAGTGGGGCCTGGGAGAGGCCCAAGGGCTCAGTGTCACATGTGGACAATGGACTAGCAGAGATGCACATTATAAAAGAGAGAAAGAACGCATCACCGAGTTGGGCATGCAACTAAAAAAAATCCCTGGAAAACCAACAAATTTTAAAAATCCCAATTAAATATCAAAATAGAAATCCTAATAATCAAGGAAGAGAGTAACAAAATTGAGAGCATAAGACCCATTAAACTGATAAATAAAACTAGCAGCTTAAAAAAACCAATAAAATAGATAAGCTATTAGCTAATTTGATTTTTAAAAAGTAGAAAGCCAAATTACCAGTGTCAAAAATGAAAACAATGAATTCATGACCAATGATGAAAAAATAAATTATTAAAAATTATTATATTCAATTATATGCCAATAAAACCGATGATCTGAATGAAATGGATGAATATTTACAAAAATATAAAATGCCAAGATTAACAGAACAAAAAATGAAAAACTTAAACAATTCAGTAACAGAAAAAGAAATTGAACAAGCCAAAAATGAACTCCCACAGGAAAAAAAACCCAGGACTAGATAGGTTTACAAGCAAATGCTATCGAATATTTAAAAAACAGTTAATTCCAATACTGTAAAAGCTGGACAAAAAGAAAAGAAGAGGTCACTTCCTAGCTATGTGACCCTGGGCAAGTCATTTAACTGAGTGCCTCCAAAAAAAGGGAAAAGAAATGAAAAGAAAGGGTCATGCTACATTTCTTCTATGATACAAATATAGTATTGATCCTTAAACCAAGGAGTCAAAACAGAGAAAGGAAACTACAGAGATGCCCATTACCAGGCCGTCCTCAGAATAAGAGAACCCAAGCAAGAATGGCAGGTTCTTCTGAAAGAGTTTTTGCAACCCTGGTGGAAAGGAAAGGACACACCTTTATGTGCAGAGCACAACCAACACCTGGACACCAGTAGGGCGGGGGTGGGGGGCAGAGGGTCCACAGACTCAGGCATCACCACCTCCCTCTTCCTGAGATTTCCACACCCTAAGATTACCCTGAAGTGGTAAGGCTGTCTCTGAGCCTTCTGGCGCTAGGCAAAGCCAACGTGGACTGTTCCTAGGGGTGTCCAGAGAGGCTGGTCCTGAGCCTCCTGATGCCTCTGGGTATGCCCAGGCAAAGCTAGCATGGAAGATGATCCTGGGGGTGCCTGGGTAAGTCTGGTACTAAGGCTGTCTGCGTTGTGCCCCTAGGAATCCTGCCAGGCCATTAAGGACTACGTGGACGCCACCCTGGGCCCCTTCATCCTGAATGTCACCAGCATTGCCTACCTCTGCAGTGAGGCGCTGTGCTCAGGGCATGGCAGATGTGCCCGCCGCCAGCATCACCCCCAAGCCTTCCTTTTCCTCAGCCCAGCCAGCTTCTCTATTCATCGACAGCCAGACAGTGGGCACTTGAGCCTTCAAGGTTTCCTGGCAGATGAGTCCTTGGCCAAGATGAAAACAGAATATAGGTGTCGTTGTTATACAGGCTGGGCTGGGGAGCACTGTGAGCAAGGAAGGGGCAGCCCCTAACTCCCCTAAAGAAACATTGCCTTGGGTAAGAACAAGAGAACAGCGGAAGGGCTCTCTGATCCTTTTACTCTCTGGCCTGTACCCTAGGCCAGAGACAGCTTCCTTTCTAAAACGGCCCTGTCACTGCCTCCCACCCTGCAATGACTGTCACTCTACATACTAGCTGTGTGACTTTGAATAACATTCCATCTCTTTGAACCCTGATGTTTTCCTCAGTCAAAGGGAGATAACAGGACTTTATTGGGTTGTTTGGAGAAAAGTGCTTTATAAATCACTATAGAAACGAGAACAGTGTTATTCTAAGCAACACAATTATTATAAATCACATCGAGGGGAAAGTTTGTCATACTTCATGATGGTTTTGTCTCTGGGTTGGTCTTTCCCACTGGGATAAGAGGTAGGGAGGGAGAGTAGACCATTGTCAGGGGCCATTGAGGGCAGTGCACTTGTATCCAAATATTTTTATTCAATGACAAAAATCAATAATTTTACCCACCTGCTTTGCTGAATATTAAAAATAAATGAGTAATGGCAGCATAGCAACTTGTCCCAGGACCATTTCTGTCTGAACTCCATTGAACGAAGATGAGAATGATTTTTCAATAATAATGATGAGGATAATAATAATAATAACAATTATGATGATGATGATGATAAAGAGATGTTCAGGGAAGAAAGGTATCAACCTTTAGAAACTGAGTTCCCCTTTCTTTCCGAGTGGGTTTCTTTAATTGTTAGCAAATCCACAGCTCCAGGTGTGCTGGGTGACTCCAAATCCAGAGAGGGCAATCAGTCAGACAGCTTATCAGTCAATCCATATGCCCGTCTTCAATTCCAGTGAGGGCTCAGAGCTTAATCTATAGAGTATTGACCCCTTCTTTGCCTGGGTGTTGTTCAATACATGTGTGTATCTTGATAACAGCTGATGTTCCTGTAACTCAAAGATTTGCAGAGTATTTTATGTGAGAGAAAGAAAGAAATTAAGTTACTTGTCCAAATTCACATGAGTAATAAAATCTAGGGTGACATTTGAACCCAGGTCTTGTGACTCCAATTCTCTGCCACACCCTCATCCATTCTGATAGCATATGCTATGTTGCACACCTACAGCCACCCCTCTTCTGCAAAGAAGGGGTGGAGGTTTTTTTGTTTATTTTTAAATCTCTTCTTCAGGACCAAGCAGGATTATTCTGATGAGTGTATGAATTTACACTGAAAGGCCAGAAGACCTGTTGCATTGAGAGCTGGCCCTGGAGTCAGGAAACCCTCCTTCAAGATGCCCCTCTGACACACATTGGCTGTTGTGACCCTAGGAAAATTCCTTCAGTGCCTGCTGGAACTCTCTCAGTCTGATTGGGAGTTGTTCATCCACACTGGCAGAGGAAATTTCCTTACTGGCACCAATGAGATCACAGGTTCAGTTGAAAATTTTAAAAATAGATTTCCATAGATGGGCACATGTCATAGATCATACAGAGATGAGCTGGAATAGACCTTAGAGGTCATCTGGCTCAACTCTTATTTTACAGATGAGGAAACTGAGGCCCACAGGAGCTGTGACTTTCTCAAGGTCACACAGGTAGCAACACAGGGGGATTTGCACCTAAGCCTTCTGACTTTGACCTTACCATGCTGGCTCCTCAATAGTTATCTTAAACATAAATTTATTCAGAAAGAGGAATTTTTAAACAGGGTATGAATATTTTTGAGCCCTTTGGGTTGTCCTAGAGCCAGACCCGGGTAAGCATCTGCTATCACTGTCACTAAAACTTACCCTTAGTCCCAACCACTGTCGCAGACCCACGCGGTCAGATACGCACAAACACTGGGTACGGGGTCACAGGTACTTCATTATAAGACATTAGCGCTGGGTCCCCCGCCCCCCGAAGCTGTTCACTAACATTTCGGACTGAGGGCCAAACCAACTCATGCACACGTTCACACACACGCACACTGATGCAGAGCACGCACACGCACACGCACACGCACACACATGCACACGCACACACACTGATGCAGGGCACGCGCACACACACGTGCGCGCACACCAGATCAGGGCACTGCCTCGTGAAGTTGGCCCCGCCCCGCGGCCCCTGTGCCCAATCGGGCTAGGGGCGCTGCCGGGAAGCTGCTGCTGTGCGTCTTCCTCACCGCTGGGCGGGGAGCGTGGGGCAGGCAGGAGCGGAGCGCGGAGCCGGGCCTGGGAAGCGGCGGCTGCGGGGGAAGAGCCAGAGCCCGGAGGCAGCATGTCAGTATCACGCCCCGCCCCGCCCCCTCTCTCCCCCCCCACCCCGCCTGGCCTCTCCGCCCTCCCGCTGAGCTCGTGTGTCCCTCTGTCCGCCGTCCCCCCCTGTATCCTGTGTCCGCCCTCCGGCCGTCGCCACGTGTCCCTGGGCTTCCCCCTCTCTCCCTGTGTCCGTCCGGCCGTCCCCAGGTGTCCAGCTGGGCGTCCCCCTCCCTCCCTGTGTCCGTGTGTCCGTCTTCCGGACGTCCCCATGTGTCCGGCTGGGCGTCCCCCTCCCTCCCTGTGTCCGTCTCCCCGCCGTCCCCACGTTATCTGTCCCCCAGTCGTCCCCGCCGGCTGTCTGTCAGTCTGTAGGCCCTAAGGGGCGCCCCCTCCCTGTTAGAGGGGGTCCTGGGAGCTTCCCTGCAGGCACCGTCGGGTCAATGCGCCTTCTTTCCTTCAGGGAAGGCCGGGCCCAGCTTCCCCATTTTATAAATGGGGAAACTGAGGCATAGAAGGATTTGAGGTGTTGGGCCCTAGGTCACAGGGAAGAAAGGCTTGGGAACATTCCCCCAGTCCCTAGGAATAGAAAAAAGGGAAGACCAACACCCCTTCCTCCCCTCTTCCCAGTCTTGTCCTAGTCTTGATAGGAACAGTTAAGGGGGGGGGGAATCAGGTGGGAGCAGGATAGGGATACTTGCTTCTTCGCCCCTCCACCCACAGCACTGCAGGGGTTAAGCGTGCATGGGTTACCCCCATCCTTGTGGGGGCAGGAAACAGCTGAAGCTTCCTTCTTCAAGAAGGGGTTCAGACTGAGCAGAGCAGCTGGCAGTGGTCCTTGGTGGCAGCGGACAAGAGGTAGATCCCTTTCCTTCCCTTGGGTCACCTTCCTCCCTTGACTTCCTTGACCCCATCTCTGGAAGAGGGTAGATATTTTAAAAAAGATGATGGAGGAGCAGAGAAGGGGACAGTAGTGTGGAAAGAGCACAGAGCTCGGAGTCTGGAGGCCTAATGTGGGGTCCTAGCTCTGCTATGAACTGCCTCTTCATGTGTGATCAGTGTTGAATCCCTTCACCTCTCTGGGCCTCAGTTTCTCCTTCTGTAAAATGAAGGTGTTGGCCTGGTTGATTTCTAGAATCCTCTGGGTCTCCCTTTCCCCATCTGTAAAATGGGAGTGCTGGCTGGGCCAGTTTCTAGAATCCCTTCCATCTCTGATGTTCAGTGGTTCTTTGGGCTCGGGAATCCTGCAACAGAGTCATCATCGGTCTACAGTGGTTTGATGAGGAGTCTGGATGGACCTTGCGCGTGGGAGTTCTCACATCAGCCATCTCCCTCCTGGGATGTAGATTTCTAGACTGGAAAGGAACCAGGGAGTTTGATTCTCTTTCCCTCCCCAGACAGAGACACGGCATCCTACTGTCCAGACTCCCATCTCCCAGACCTTGAGAGTGAGGGAGACCATGGTTTGGGAGCCATGATGGAGGAAGGGTGAGGGCCAGCCGTTGGGACCTAGCCCGTGTGGGGAGGAAGCGGGGTATCCTTATCTGTGCGGCTCTGCAATCCCTTGGAGAAAAGCAGAAGTCAGTCCAGACCTGAGCCATACAGTGCCCCTCATGAGGGAGGGGGCCAGGCCTCTATTTCTCCTTCCCCCGTCAGCCCTAGGGGCTCTCACCTTCCTAACCACCTGACCTCTCTCCCCTTCAGATTGACCCTCCACCTTTCTGGGAGCCTGGGTTTCCCTGCTTCAGGGGGTCTCTTGGTGGAGGTTATTGGAGACCTGAGATTCTTGTATCCAGGGCCATCTTCTTAGTCCTTTCTCCTATGAGCTGAAGTGGGGGTGGAGAGGGGGATTTGAGGATTTCTATTTAGGGCCTGGGGAACCTGTCCTCTCTCTCAGCAGCCTTTTGTCAGCTGCTCCAGGAGAAGGATTTCCTCTTCTAACAAAGCTGGCAGAGCAACATAAATAATCCCAAACCCACAGATAATCCAAAAATAACTTTGCTTTGGACCTTTTGGGAGTTTATAGGAGGCTGGTGTTTATTTCACAGGAGTTTTCCCTCCCTCCCTGAACTGAGTTCACACTGGAAAAAAAAAAAGCCAGAATAGGGACCCAACAGAGACCAGGCCATAAAAGGATTGGTCAAAGGAAAGAGGGAGTATTGTTTTGCCTGGACAAGAGAACTGGGCAATCAGGGAGGGAGTGGTGGTATGATCTCTGTCTTCAAGTATCTGAAGGGTTGTCCACCAAAAAAAGGTTTAAGGTCTGGAACCCCAGAGGGCAGAACTAAAATCACTGGGGGTTTGGGAAGTTGCATTAAGTCAGATTTAGGTATAATTTAGTAAGGAATAAACTTCCTAACAGTGAGAGCTGGTCCACTAGGTAGCGAGCTCTCCTAGTTAGCAGAAGCTGAGTGACCATTTGTCTGGGATGCTGTGCAGGGCACTAGATGACCCTTGAGGTCCCATCCAGCCATGACCTGCTGGGATTCTGTGACACATCAGCTTTGGATACTCCACAGGAGGAGAATGGAGAATTGGTCGTAGATCCCGAGGGAGAGCAGCGGCTCCTGACCAGCAGCTGGATGATGGCCTCTTTGTCCTCCTTGGCTTCAGGCCCTGGCCTCGATGGGCTGACCCTGGAGCCAGCCCACCTGCGTCCAGAGCTCCTGGATGCCTGTGCTGACCTCATCAACCAGGAGTGGCCTCGGAGTCGAGCCTCACGCCTGCACTCGCTGGGCCAGTCTTCAGACTCCTTTCCCCTGTGCCTGGCCCTGCTGGGGCCACCCCCTGCCCCTGGGGCCTTGCCCACCGTCCTGGGTCATTCCCGCCTCTCCCGAGTCGTTGCCCACAATCACAGCCTGTTGGTGGAAACCGTGGTGGTGGCTCGGGCCCTTCGGGGTCAGGGGTTTGGCCGACGCCTCATGGAGGCCACCGAGGCCTTTGCGAAGGCTCGGGGCTTTCGTCGGCTGCACCTGACCACCCACGACAAGCAGCACTTCTATGCCCATCTGGGCTACAGGCTCGGGGAACCAGTTCAGGGCGTTGCCTTCCATAGCCCTCTGTCTGCTGCCATCCTCCAGGCCTTCTCCCAGCCTGCCAGCCCTCCAGAGCCTAAAGCCCCTAGCCCCTGCAGGGAGACTTTCAGGACCCCCCGCCCTAGGCCCTATCTGTCCCCTGCACCACCACCCCCTCCTCCTTTACCTGCCCCCCTTCTCAGCCCTCCAGGTCTCTCCCCCACGGGCTCCCCACCGCAGAGCCTGGAGGAGACGCCATATAGGGACATCCGGGGCCGCCCCATATTTTGGATGACAAAGGAGATCTGATGGGGTTGGCCTCATGGCCTTTCAGCTGAGGATAGAAAGAAGGAAAGCATGCAGGGAAGGATCGCAAAGAATGGCCAGAAGAGATCCCTGAGGAGATCCCTGAAATCTTTGCAGTGCCTGAAGTCTGCTTCCTTGGGGGTGTTGACAGCCTAGCTGTCAGTGCTGCTCCCCCAGTGAAGGCAGAAGATGGGGTGATCACCCAGCCCCATCCCATTTTTCTTTTTGGGGGGGAGGAGTTGGGGGGCGACAATCTCAAAGTGCCAAAAAGACTCCCAGTAGAAGAGCTGGAGAATAAGAGACCAAGGAGAAGATAATGGCTATACTAGCAGTGTCTAGTGCTTGAAGGTTTATGAAACACCTCTCTTACAATGCCCCTGTGAGGGAGGGGCTGCACATATGCATTATTGTCCCCATTTTCTAAAGAAGGAAATGGAGTCCTAGAGTGGCAGCTCAGACCTGTAAAGTGGCAGAGCTGGTGTTTGGTCCCAGGCTTTTCTTCCAAGTCCAGCACCCCGCGATGCCTCAGACATTGTGCCAGTTGCCTCGCAGGTCCTAGGCTCAGTGACTGGGTCAGGGCCCGTGTCAGATCTGAACAGTGGGCAGAGGTCTCTGCACACAGCAGGTGCTTAATAAGCGTTGGTTAGATTTGTTGACTTGTTAAGCAGCATGGCTCTGTGTGAGCGGCACTAAATAAAGCAGCCCCGTCCTGGGGACCATACAGCTAGGGTCTGTCCTTTGTGCTTATTTCACCTGTTGGTGCGCTGCGGGGAACCTCCTCTTACAATGTTGCTCCAGGCTTCAGTCTCCTGGATGCTCAGCCTTCTCTGCCCTTCCTGACAGGCCCAGTGACAGGTCTGTGAGGATGGGAGCGGGGCAGGCAACGTGTGACTCAATGAGAGATGTCAGGGCCCCAAATCTAATCCTTCCTCAGGCCTGTGCTCCTTCCCCTCACTCTAGTCTCCTCTCTCCCCTACAGGTCTCTCCCTGCTGGGCCCAACTATGAATGGGGGCTGCTATCTGGTGGGCTGGGCCACCCTGTGCCTGGTGGGTGGGTGGGCGACCTCGTGGCATCTGGGCCGCCCCTTCACTGCAGTGTGGAATGTGCCAACAGCCCGATGCCAAACCCACTTTGGCCAGCCCTTGCTCTTGGAGCCCTTTGGCATTGTATACAACCAGGCCCAGCGCTTCCGGGGCCAGAACATTACCATCTTCTACAAGAACCAGTTTGGCCTTTACCCCTACCTAGGACCCAGGGGTGTCCTCCACCATGGAGGTATCCCCCAGGCTGTTCACCTGCACAAGCACCTCGCCCTAGTCACCAGTCAGATCTCTGGCCTCATGCATGAGGGCTTCAGAGGCTTAGCTGTGCTTGACTGGGAAGAGTGGCACCCCCTCTGGAACCGGAACTGGGGGCCCCGCTGGATCTATCGAAAGGCATCTTGGGCCTGGGCCCAGCAGCAGTGGCCAGATCTGCCTCCTAAGCAGCAGCGCCTAGAGGCTCGGGCTGCCTTTGAGCGGGCTGCTCGGGCACTAATGGAGGGCACCCTGCAGCTGGCACAGGTGCTTCGTCCCAGGGGGCTGTGGGGCTTCTATCGATTCCCTCTCTGCCGAAGCCCCTGGCGGGGCAGGCACAATTATACCGGGAAGTGCCAGATGGCAGACAAGGCCTACAATGACCAGCTGCGCTGGCTTTGGGAAGCTTCTACTGCCCTCTTCCCCAGCATCTACCTCCCACCCGGCCTGCCCCAGGTCTATCGAAAGAGCTACGCACGACACCGACTGGAAGAGGCTTTCCGAGTGGCACGGTTCGGGCACCCGCGTCCTCTGCCTGTGCTGGCCTATACCCGCCTTACTCACCTTAGCTCTGGGCAGTTTCTGTCCCAGGTGAGCCTTTCATCTGAGGGGAAGCCGTAGTCCCAATCTCCAGGGAGCTTTTGGAGTTCCTAGTCTGAGGAGGGAGCTGGGGGACCAGGAAGTTTGGCCAGAGCCAAGAGACAAGGGTGGCTGAGCAACATTTCTCCCTTCCCAGAATGACCTGATTCAGACCATTGGAGTAAGTGTGGCCCTGGGGATAGAAGGTGTGGTGCTCTGGGGAGATCTCTCTTTTTCCAGTTCCAGGGTAAGTGATTCTTCTCCTTCCAGCCCCTGTGTCCACTCAAAATTCCCACTTCTACTCTTAATGCCCTGGCCTTGGAGGCCAGAACTACAGCCGTAGATTTATTTATGTATTAATTTTGTAAACAGTATTTTGTTTTTTCCAATTACATGCAAAGATAATTTTCAACATTCATTTCTATAAGATTTTGAGTTCCAAAAATTTTTCCCTCCCTTCTCTTCTCTTCCCAAGATGGTAAACAATCTGACATAGGTTATACATGTGCAATCATGTTAAACATATTTCCACATTAGTCATGTTGTGAGAGAAGAATCAGAACAAAAGGGAAAAACCGTAAGAAAGGGAAAAAAAAGTGAAAATAGTATGGTTCGATCTGCATTCAGACTCCCTAGTTCTTTCTCTGGATGTGGATAGCATCGTGATTTCCTCCACGAGTCCCTTGGGATTGTCTTGGATCATTGTATTGCTGAGAAGAGCGAAGTCTGTCATCGAAGAGCATCGCACAATGCAATGTGTACAGTGTTCTCCCGGTTCTGCTCATGTCACTTAGCATTCATAGAACCCTGGATTTAGAGCTAGAAGCAATTTTAGTGGCCACGTTGGCCAGTTCCTCCAATTTATAGTTGAGGAAACAAAAGCCTGGAGGTGGTGACTTGCCGACTGTCGCCTAGGTTGTGAGTGGCAGAACTGGAATTTGAACTCGGGTCCTTTGAATCTAAAGCCCATTCTCTTTCCTCTGTGCCACACTACCTAGGAACTCTAGGTCTCGTGCTCCTAACTGGGCAACACTGGCTAGCTCATTTCCCTTTGTAATCCCTGCTTTTTCTCCAGCTGTAGAACACAAGAGTTAAGTTAGGTGGTCACTAAGGCCCCTTCCAATACTTAATGTTCTATTGTCTCTTCCCATTCCAGGAGGGAGTATATCTGACCACGATTCAAGGATCAGGGAGAAGGGGGGGGAAGGGGAAGCTGGTCCCAGGACTAGGTATGGAGATTCAGTTCCCTTTGAGATGGTGTTCCTTTCTTTCCCTTTCCTCTGAAGGATGAAGGATTTCTTTTTATCTTCCATCCTCAGGAACAGTGCGAGCTTCTTCAGAGCTACCTGTCAGACATCTTGGGCCCCTACTTAAGCAATGTGACTAGGGCTGCCCACGCCTGCAGCCAGCAGCTGTGCCATGGCAACGGACGCTGTGCCCGACGGGAGCCCAACAATGATGACATCTTCTTGCACTTGGAACCAGCAGGTGCTTTGGGAGCCCCCAGGGAAGACCCTGACAAATGGACCCACTTCCGATGCCTCTGCTACCCAGGCTGGGCAGGCACTACCTGCAAGGTGCCTGTACCTGGCACAGAATGAAGGGGGTAACCTTGAGCCCTGTCCCCAGAGGATTCCTGACTGTGGGGACAAAGCTATGAGCCACCTATATCTTTCCTTGCCTTCTGAGCTTCTTTAAGTTGTTTCCACTGGCCTCATTCTCCCTGACTCCAAAGAGACTGGTTGTGGAGGCCTTTTCCTGCCTGTTTCCTAAAACTCCCCCTTCTGCTACAGAGCCTGGAAATGTTCCCCTCTATTCCTCTGCTGTGCCCAAAGGCACGAGATTTTGACTTCAGACAAATTCCTTCCTCTCTCAATGCCTCATATTCCCTAATCTTTTTTTTTTAAAGAGAATTAGAGTTAAAGCTAATAGGTACCTCAAAAATCAAAACTCTAATTTTATAAATTAGGGGACTGAGGCCCATAGAGGGGAAAGGATTTGACTAAAGTCACAGCTAGTTTTGTAGTCAGAATTTGAACCCAGGTCTTCTGATTGTAAATCTAACATTTTTTCTGCTACAGTGCAAAATGAGGGGATTGAAACAAATGATCTTCCTTCCAGCTGTAAATCCTAAAAACACAAGACCAAACCAAACCCCTTGTAACGTAATGTAATATTTAGTCTAGGTTTTTAAATGGCCCTACTCTCTGGCTCTGGCTGACTCCTACAGAGCAACTACATCCTTGATATCTTACATGTGGCCTTGAGTGATCTCCCTTGAACCTTGCAGCCCTACATTCAGGGACTTGGGCACAAGGACCATGAACTGGGAGCTGGTCCACCTGGGATTCAGGAGGTGGGTCTGAACATCCCCATATGCTACTTGTCACGGTATTTGTGGAGTATACTTCGTCTTAGTCTGTACTTTCATGCCACAGTTAAGTTGGCCATAAAATCATTTTTCCTTTCCCTCTCTACACGTGTGCTGGCTGATTTTGTCCCTCCACCCCAAACACAATTTACTAGCTCTATAAAGAGAATAATACTTGCATTATTTAACTCATAGGATTGTCGTGGGGAAAGGGCTTTACAAACCTTAAGGTGCTATAGAAAAAGTTCTTATAACTGAAGATCATTCTTAAAGTAATACAGGACTTAGAAGCAAGCGCACATGAAAACGTAGGCACGTGGGGCCTCCTGTCACTCGGCAATTTAAGAGTTAACCTAGCGCTGGGACTGGGGCATTGTGGGCCTTTTAGTTCGTATGCGCCCTATGTCTCCGTTTTCCCTTAGGACGGGACTCTATTTCCCGAGATGCCTCGCTGCTTCGCGGATCGGGGAGGGCGGGGAAAGGCAGAGCGTCGCACGGACCCCCGTGGGGATTGTGGTTCGGCCTTCCCTGGAGGCCTGCAGGAGCCATCGGGGTGGGGATCCGGGAGGACTCAGTGTCCCAACGGCCCTAGCGGTTCGGGCGGGACGCTGAAAGGGGTGGGACCTACTAGGGGAGTTGAGCGAAGATGGTGGCGCGCGTGGCGTGCTGCCCCCGGCCTCTGCCTGTCTTTTCGCGGCGCGCGCTGGCGCTGGCGCCCAGGAGCGCGAACCCCGACGCGAGTCCCCGCCGGCTCTGACCCCGCGCCCCCGCGCGCCGCCTGCCCGGCCCGGCATGCCCCGCGCCCGCAAGGGACACGCGCCCCGGAGGGCAGGACAGCGCCGAGGTGGGGGTGAGTGCGAGGGTCCGGGGGCGGGGCCTGGGAGCTGGGGCGGGGCTTGAGGAAGGGGCGGGGCGGGGCTTGAGGAAGGGGCGCCGGGGGGCGGGATCTGAGGGTTCGGAACTTAACGAAGGGTGCTGGGGGAAGGTTAAGAGGAGTCTGGGGGCAGGGTGAGGAGGGGGCTGAAGATCCTGGGGCCTTGAGCAGGGTTTGAGGGACGTGGGGGAGGGGGTCTGAAGGACTGAGGAGGGGCGCAGTATGATCAGCTAGGGGTGGTATGAGGGGTTTGGGGGGGGTCTGGAGGACCGGGGGCATGGTCAGGACAGGGGTGGAGTGAGGGGCTTCGGGGGTCTGGAGGACCGTGGGTATGGTGAGGACAGGGGTGGAGTGAGGGGCTTCGGCTGTCTGGAGGACCGTGGGTATGGTGAGGACAGGGGTGGTGTGAGGGGCCTGGGGGGTCTGGAGGACCGTGGGCATGGTCAGGACAGGGGTGCTGTGAGGTTAGGGGATGTCTGGAGGACCGTGGGTATGGTGAGGACAGGGGTGGTGTGAGGGGCTTAGGGGGTCTACATGACTGTGAGAGGGGCACAATATGTTCAGGATAGGGGTGATGTGAGGGACCTTGGGGGGTCTGGAGGACCATGGGTATGGTCAGGACAGGGGTGGAGTGAGGGGCTTGGGGGGTCTGGAGGACCGTGGGTATGGTCAGGACAGGGGTGGTGTGAGGGGCTTGGGGCGTCTGGAGGACCGTGGGTATGGTCAGGACAGGGGTGGTGTGAGCGGTTTGGGGGGTCTGGAGGACCATGGGGTATGGTCAGGACAGGGGTGGAGTGAGGGGCTTAGGGGGTCTACATGACTGTGAGAGGGGCACAATATGTTCAGGATAGGGGTGATGTGAGGGACCTTGGGGGGTCTGGAGGACCGTGGATATGGTCAGGACAGGGATGGTATGAGGGGTTTAGGGGTCTGGAGCACTCTGGGTATGATCAGGATTGAGATGGTATAAGAGGGCTTGGAGGGGCTCTAGATCAAGATCTAGAATCAGGACAGGGGTGGTGTAAACAGGCTTGGGGAAGCTGAGTGAGGGACTTGAGTGGGCTGAACAGAGAGGTAAGGCTAAGGTCTTGGAGTTTCTGGGGATCCCACTGGGCAAGTGTGAGAGGGCTACGTAAAGGAGGGCCTCGTATTATAGGCGGTGAAGGGGGAGGGAGAATCTGAGAAGAGGTCAGAGGCACAGTCTCTCTTGGGGCAAATAGGTAGGAATTAGATAGGACTTTGTCCAGGAAATGGGAACTGAGTAGGGCAGGCAGCCCAAGGGATTCCTGTGAAGCCACCTGTAGCCCTGGATCTGCCTTGGGGGAGCTGTGGTCAGTGGGCTTCCCATGGGAGGAGGTGATCCTTCCGCACCATCCCCGTCCTTCCTCCTCCTTGCTTCCCCTCCTCCCCTCCAGAGGTATCGTGTAGCTAGCTTCTCGGTTCTAGGCTTCTGGGCACATGCCCATGGAAAATAGAGCCACGTGGAAGCTGAACTTCAGCCTTTTTTATGGGCCTGGTGTAGAGGAAGGAAGCCTGGCCTGGGAGGCAGGACACCTGGGTTATAGTATTAGCTTTACCTATACACAGCCCACGTGGCTGAGGACAAGTTTACTTCCCATTCAACATCTCTATTTCTCCATCTGTAAATGAAGGAGACTGGAGCACGTGGTGTCTAAAGATGGATTTTCCTTATGTAGCTAGGAGATGGTAGAACTGGGCTTTAAGGCCAGGCTTCTAACTTAGACATTTGTCTTCTCCACCTCTGACATCCTGTGCCATTTTTTTCTGGCATTCCAACCCAGGTCAGTTTTGCCTTCAGCACTTGACCTTTTAATAATAACAGCCTTAAGGTTTACAGAGACCTTTCTTCACAACAGTTCTGGGGAAGAAGGAATTATCCCCATTTTACAAATGAGGAGACTGAGGCTTAGAGAGAGGAAATCACATGCCAGCTAGTAAGTGTTGGAGCCAAGACTCTTGACCCCCTCCCCCCCAACTATGATTACACAGCTGGTAAAAAGCAACCTGGGACTTGAACCCTAATATTCTGAATCCAAAGTTTTCTTTCTTAGCTCACTTGCCGCTTGCTGTGAAACTTGCTGAACCAGGTCTGCATGTGGAATACGGTGCTGGTTTCCTGGCCCTTGCCAATCCCTAATCCTTTCAGGGGTGGGGACCAGGAAGCGAATCAGTGATTGATACGAAAGGAAAGTGGGGGCATTTGTAGCAGGGTCTGTGGAAGCAGGTATTATAGCCTTTGCTCATTTACTCTTGCAGAGCTGGTTGGTGCTGCGGCCAGGGCTGTCTTGGAGAGGCAGAAAGGTGACTGCCTACCTTATCAGCATTTGCTGGAAAGTCTGTGAAATGTGATAAGTAGAGCCCTTGGGAGTCCTGTGACTGTCCCAACACTTAGCATCTGTCAGGTTAGGTTCAGACCATGGTGACTAGATCATACAAGTGTGAAGGGATTCCAGAGTCCAGCCTCACATGGGGAAACAGAGGCTCTGGATGGGGAAGGTGCTGGTCCAAGGTCACACAGATAGTAACAGTCAGGATTCAAGCTCAGCTTTTCTGACTCCAGAGTCAATATTCTCACTATATTATTCTACCTTCAGGCAAGAGAAAAAAGTAAATTTAGTATCTGAATACTGGAAGGAAAAGATGCTGGTTTCCCTTTTTTCTCAAGGATGTGCACCCTGGTCATCTCCTTATACTGGCTCCCCAAGTCCCCAGAGATGTGATCTACAAACTCCTTGAGGAAGGAGAGGTGGGGCTTGCCTCCTCTCAGCTTATACAGACAGACTTGGGAATTTCTCTCACCTTCTACTAGTGAGCCTCCATAGCCTGCCTAGCGAGGCTGGATCCCACCCTGACGTGGGCTGACCCCTGAGCCCAGCAAGATGCCCTTTGGCTGTCCTGGAGACCAGAGGGGTCCTGGGCATAGAGCAGAAGAGGGAGCCCCTAGACTGAAGCCTTGGTACCACCTTTTGGCCTTCTCAGGGCATGTGGATGTGCTGGGCTGTCAGTACTCAGAGGTCCTGTCTCCTCTCCCAGGCTAGGGGGAGGCCTTCCAGGCTTGGTTCCTTTTGTGGACCATATAGGATCAGAGAATGTGTTTGCTCAGCCCTGAACTTATAGGTCACACGAGTGTGTACAGGGCAGGTATTAGGTCATTTGTCCCTTTGGGGCCTTAAGGAAGCTGTGGTATTCCAGAAGATGGCAACTCCATGTCCAAGGACTTCTAGGGAATGTCAGGTGGTTGACTTTGAGAATCCAGGGTAATTGTTCACTTTGTCAACACCCCCCTCCCCACCCCCCGCCAGCTTCAGAGCAGAATCGAATACCCCTAGAAGCATCTGGGCTCTTGGTAACACCTGAAAACCAAAAGGTGGGTGCCTGAAAGGTGGGCAGATGAGGCTGAGACTTGGGAGCTGTTGCAGGAAGGCAAAGAAGCCATTACCCTAGCTAGGCTGGGCCTGAACATGCGCCTGTAACGACGGTTCTCCAGAGTTAGGCAGGCAAAGGGGGCTGACAGACAGGCCTGAACTGGAGGGACTGGCTTTCTACCCAGCCCTTTGCTGGGGCCTTCCTCCTCCCTTGGTCTTTTTTCTTTGCCTTGGGAAGGAAGTGGGTGTGACCACATTGCCCTGGGTCCTGGAGCTGGTAGACTGGGGCCTTAGGGCAGTTAGGTCTAGTTGAACTCTTCATCTCAGATGAGGGCTCCTGTCACCTCCAGGTGGGCCAAGGTTAGTTCTGTCAGATCCCTTAGCTGACATTTATATAGCACATGGAGGTTTTCAAAGCATTTTACATACATCATCTCATATGTTTCACATTACAGTCTTGTGAGGCAAGTGCCCTTAGAAACAGTCCTATTGCTACCCTGCCCTTTCTGTTTCTGCTCAGGACCTTAGCTTTCCTTTTTTCAGTGACAGAGGGAAGGGATTTCTGATGAGAGCTGCATGTGCGATCAGAGACAGATCCATGCTAGGAGTGGCGGTCAGGAGCCCCCCTTAGCACGGGCGTCTATTTTTGGACATTGTAGACAACCAGCCGCTTTTCTCCATCACCGCAAAGTACTGGGTGAATGAGAGTCCCTTAGATTCTAAGGCCCGTATGGGGTCAAGACCCACAGTTTAAGAAGTGCTGAAAGAGTCTCGCTCTGGTGGGATAGGGGCTGAGCATTGAGCCTTCAAGTAGAAGGGAAAATGGTGGTAAACAGTATTGGGA